CCGCAGACAACCGGCTGCGAGTTCCAGTCCCCATGTCTCGAGTGCTAGAAATGACATGCGCCATCTCATCTCATCGATTCATTTTCGCTCAAAAAGTAGCTCTGCTCTTTTTACCTATTCACGTAGTTTAGAATTAGCTGTGTTCATTTGCCCTTTCTTCCGCTTTTGTTTTTGCTTCCCGGCTTTTTTGTGATGTAAAACAATTCCCAGACTGCAAGCGCGAGCTATTCGTTGAAGGATGCATCTCGGCTGTGCGAACTCGAACAGCAGAAGCAACTGCCAAAGATAAAGCCACGATCTCGGGATTCTCGCCTTCAAAAAAATATCACCATTGAAAGACAAGTATTTGTTCAGAGTGTTCTAATAAAAATGGTCAGGACAGCACAAACTGTCAAATTAACTTATTGATTTCAAATACATGTTGAGCTGGGATAATTCCACAGGAAGTTGAGCAATGGAAACGACAGTGTGCTAGCTCTCTTGCTCTATTAAAAATGCCAGCCCGTAGGCGGGACGGTGTCATTTGAATTCTTGCTATCACGTCTTGTTAGGGCCCAAAGTAGTCATATAAACAAATCAAATCTAAAGATGCCACTGGCGAAACAGTGGGTTTACTAAAAGCATAAAGCACGAGGTCTCTTCTCTTAAAGGAGGTGTGCAGCGATTTAAACGTTGAAAGAATTGGCATCTTCTGCTTTTCATATTGTTCACCTTGTCACAAATGACAGAAAACACGCATCCTTTCATCGAAATGTTGCGATTCCGCCGCGTAATAGCGAGGCAAAACAGAATATTTCCCGACCTGCAGCCGTGAGTGGCTGCAGGTCGGGAATGGGGTATTTTGTGGAAAGATAGAAAGTTGTGTGAATACCTGCTCGATAAAAGGTAACTTTTCTATAAATCTTGTCGTTCCAACATATATATACATGCGTCAAAGACCTGGTATCATCGACAAAACTTTTATTATAGGAAGTTTTAGTGGCGCCATCTATCCTAGGTCCATAAAACCGTAAGTTCTCGCTGCTACCGCGAACAGCCGCCAGAGGCCAAAGGGGGAGAAGGACAAGGCCGGACGGGTATGGCCGGACCCGGATGAGACTTTCCTCCTTTCACAATGTTCGCGCGGCGCCCGCCAGCACGTGGTCACGCGGTCGCGAGCGGATGAGTTCTCGCTGCTCACTGAAGGCTCTAAAAAATCAATTTTTTCGGAACCCCGCGCCTACCCCATCAACGTGTAGACATTAGGAATGTCCGGCATCGCCGGCACATGGCCACGCCTCGCTTCTGCTTCGTCTGTCGGGATGCCCATATAAACAAGTTTCAACACACTCCCGTCACATGACCCAACGTAAGGAAACAGAACAGTGTGAACCGGCCTTTAAAGTCGAAGGGAGCTAAAGACCTCGTCACGAAGGAGATCAAGCACTCGGGAAATGAGCGGGCGAAGGAGAGAGGAGCTACGAGAGACGATGATCGAGCGAAGTTTAAGGCGTCATGCGTGCATCGGAATCGCTAGCTTTTACAATTAAACTACACCTCGTTGCGAACGTGACGCGACGTCATTCACTTAACGCGTTTAAATCAATAAGAAGACAAGCTGCTTGGGAGGTTCCCAGAGCGGAACAATCTGCATAGCATTGTCTCGCGGGTCACGCTCCTTAGAGCCGCTCTACGTCTACCTGCCCCTCCGAATGAATGCACCGGAGCACTCGCATTGTCAAGGCCACGGCTGGTCGCACCGGAAGCAGCCCCGGGGAACCGGGGCAGGTACGCCGGAAAAGAGAGACGCTCGCTCTGTAATTAACCACAAGTCACGTCGTCGTCGACGGCGTACGAACACGTTCACACACGACTTCTTAGGACCGTGTGCCTTGAAACCGCTTCAAATCGCTTACGACGAGAGATGGCGCCAGCTATCGAGGTTGCCCTGGAACACTTGGCGGTCCCGCATATTTCCTATTTTTTCGCGCATCATTTTTTTTTTCTTTTTTTGACCCGAAAAAGCTTTTGGGAATATTATAAACGATAAAATCTCAAAGGCAGTACGCACATTTGATCTCACCAATACCGCAAAGCATTCGCTCTAATGCATCGCGCACGCGCTTCGGGATCTCGGAGGCCATGCTCTAGCAAGCAAATTGCAGTTCCAGGGTCACACGGTATAGATGGCGCCAGCGTGCCAGTCTGTTCTCTCGTCGTAAGAGCTTTTAAGAGTCGCAAGTGTGTGAACGGTGCGGCTCCTTACGACCGAGTGCCTAAAGGCCCGTTCACATTTGCGTTTGCTTACGACCGAGTTCTTGTGACCTCTTACGACGAGAGATTATGTTGGCGCCATCTACAAGGTGACCCTGAAACTAGATTTCACTAGAGGGAAGGTTTTGTGGTATTTGCGATTAAAGGTAGTACAGCAGTGTTGGGACGTACTTTAATTACATTTTACTACTTTAAATGGGTTTAGAAAACTTGTACTTGAAGCGCGTCCTCCGAGTGTTTACTTGTACTTCCAAATATTTTTTGACCCTTTCCAAAGAAAGTACAACTGCCGACTGCAAGGCAGATTCCCCAAACGTGGTCTTGTTACGTTTGTATCACAAAAATTATGATTTGCAAACAAATCAGTGCATTGTAAGTTGATTGTGCTAATAGTTTGTCAGCGAGTGTACAACTCTGACCATTTGACTTTACCCTGTATTCGCCGTAATTTCTGAAAATAACTGATGCACCCCCGATTGCCCATGGGGCAATGCATACCAGATAAAAACAAACAAAGAAAATAAAAACAGTATAGGAGAATGAAAATCTATGATGAAAGATTATATCAATAAGTATTTGTATTTTCATTTGAAAGTACATTGTATTACTTCAAGTACATGGCGCCCGGTCTACTTAGTCTTCACTCGAAGTGCATAACCTTCCGGAAGTGTCGCAACTCGGAGGCAGCCCACGGCTGAAATCATTTAATTCAAGATCGTATCTCTGAGTGCCCTGACAGCTGTGACATGGCCTTCCCAAAGTTGCCCTTTTTGGGACACCAGCCGCGCTGACTAGGAGCCGACCGAGGCGTCTCTTGTTCACTGCTCATATATACATACGTTCACAGAAATATTTGCCCTTAAAGGAGTTGGTCGAGGAGGTTGCCAAAAAAGTGAGCTTGAAACGTTTCGGGCCTGGTAGGCTCTTCGTCAGTCAAAGTAAGAACACTTCGTTCTCCTTTTCTTTCAATCAAAGAAAAAACGGCCGGAAAAAAGAAGAAGTTAATTATCCGTATATACATACGGATAGAAGTACGAACTTTACTGGTGCCGTTTCGGTTTGGCATTCATGCATGCCTTTAAATCAGTTGGTCGTCTTGCTGATTTTGCGGCACGTTAGTAATTATCTTGTTTTGGGGTTCATGCGATGTTGATAGAATGTTGATATTTATTTTATCTCGAGAGAGCCGAGGCGCGGCAGAAAGGCAAGTCGCCCGTATACCATGAAGGCCTGCGGCGCCGCGTCTAACGACGTTGAAATGATATTCTAGAGATGAAAGAGAAATGGCGATGAAGGCTCACGTGGAGGTTGCGGGTGATGGTGCTTTCTTTTTTCCTTCGTCTTTTCTGCGGCTGTTTGCGGGGTGGTCCCGCAAAACCGCCACATTGTTCGTACCACGACCTCGTGGTTCGTGCACAGACCGGACACAGCGGGGGCGCACGGGACGAGGGTTTTAAGTGATATGCTCACGGTTCATTGAGGACAGACGCATAAGTGTGCCTTTATATTCCCGTAAGATCCGGAAAAAAAGACTGACAGTGTAAATAAATAACAAATAATTCGGCAATGACCTTTCGTTGCGAAACGGGACAAATCATGCGCACTTTACAGACGTGTTCCAAGATAGTAAACCTAATCTCCCTCCAAGAATTGCGTGGCATTCACAAACTTGATATTCGAAAACCTACCCACAGCGCCGAGGCCGAGTTGCTCTGAGTCATCACTGGATAAATTAACGATGCGCGGGAAAAATCTCGTGTCTACTCGAGTTAGGTTTGGAGCGAAGCCAACGTGCGCGACGCGCGGCCCAGGTTGGCTGCAGGCAACTGCACCGACCCAAGTTGTTGTTCGTACAGCGAGAACGTACGCCGTCTCGAAGAATACAGTCTCTTCCATTCGACAAATTTGATCTCGACGTTGGGTGGGGGAGCATGCGGTAATCTAGATGTTACATTATATGTGATATCGCACCATCTCAATCTCCATCTTGCTTGCACTCACAAACTTGTACACCCCGTATTTTTTTTTTTAGCATTACGTGTCCGCATGTATAAATAGATTCTAGAATAAAAATAATATAAACCAGGAAAACTCGAGGAAGAAAAATGAGAAAGCATTGCGACGCACACGAGTGAAAAATATTATCAATATTAGAGAAGGGCAATACACTAAATAGGTATACCTCGCCGAAGACAAACAAAAACAAAAAAAAAAGCCAACCTATTTTTTTTTTTTTTTTTTTTTTGCACGGCGAAGCGTTGAACGACGTCACAATTAGCTCCGCGGCCTGCCGTTCTGAGGCTGTCAACGAGTGGATGGTCGAAGTGCTCCAAGGGCGTGGTCGCTCCCCCTCCAATCCTGCGCGCTTATATAAGCGCCACGAATTGATACACCGCTTCTCACGCTTACGCAAAACTCCCCATTCCCCTCCCTCCAACGCAACGAGGCGACACGCCCTGCCGAGCCGGCAGATAAAACAATTGCCCCCTTCGGCTGTAAATAACTAAACATAGCGGAATGACGAACACACGCATCTAAAGAATTCGTATCCTTCGATATAATGTCGTTACGTGGATTGTTACGCGTTGGTTTATACACAGAAACGGACATCGAAAACCACGCGGTAAACTATGCATTCGCAGTGGCCCGCGGCGTTAGTACCGCAATTCTACCGCGCCGCGCAAGAAAAAAAAAAAGAGCAATGGAGGCGAGTGATGTGATCAAAATAAATATCAGAGGGCACGTACCGTACGGATGACTGTCGGCGTCGGCCTCGTCAAAGGCAGCCGGGGCGTACCTCACTGCGTCGCGGCTGGATGCCGTTCCGTTCGACATTTGTCCAAACAAACACGGCGTAAACTCGAGCTTTTCTTCTTCAGACGGGGCTGAGTTAACAAAGCCGTCAGCGGCTTCGGTATATAAGTGTCGCAATAACTTTGTAACCAGACACCACACACTTGTGCGCCGGCAAGGGAGAGGAATTCCACGCGAGAGGATCGTTCACGTAGCGCGGCGCTCCGTTGGGTGATGCGCTTCCGCGGCGCGGCAAAGCTGCAGCAATAACCTTGCTCCGTCCAGGCAGCACATTTCAAGAGGAGAAGGCTGCGGGTTCTGCTGGGGATAGTACGATAGTAGGCTACTCCGCGAAAACAGGTTTTGTTTGATCCAACATGCACGCGCGGTCGGGGACGTGGTAGGGACTTCACTCTGGACGACGATGGGCGTTGTCCAATTCTTCTTTTTGTCTCTCCGTCTCTTTGTTCTCCCTTGCTCAAGCACGCGGTCCGGCCGTTGACTGTTGATAAGAGTGACAGTTTCCACGAGTGTCACTCGGGTGATCCAACCGAGCTTGATAAGGGAGGAGAGGTGAAGTTTGCGAAGGAGGTCGTAATATCGTGGTTACAGCGGAACATCATCGCTTTATCGCATGGCGTATACTCGAACGGTATTGTTAGCGACAATTAATAACGTCCATTCCTTCGGAAAGGACTATCCGCCACAGCACAACAAGTGGCACGGTATAGGTAGGGAGGCACTCACTCGATCGAGTGACGTTTTAGCGAACGCCGACGTTTCACCGATTGACACCTTAGCGATAGTCGGCTGGGTGGGCCAAGTGGGTTAACATTCGTGTAATGACCCGGCGCAGACTCGCCGCGAAGTAAGCGCAGCGCGGGGGGGGTTAGTTAACCTTTTCTTCTTTGCAGCTTTGTAGGAACGTCTCTCAACTCGGCCTTCGTCGCAAAATATACAATGATTGTCTCGATCTTAAAACAGCATTATTATCTATGCTTGGGAGAAGAGCGTGTTGGTTCAAGTGATGGATGAAGAAAATAAACAACACTGGGACAACACAACCACATCTTTCAACTAGCAACAGAGGATTAAAAATTCCCACAGTTTAGTTGGCAGCTCGCTGTGGGAATTTTGAATCGTCTGTTGCTATAGTTGAAAGATGTGGTTGTGTTGTCCCTGCGTTACTTGTTTATTCCTTCTCCATCGAGCATTGTTATCACCTCCCGATCGAACATCATCTCGCTTAAACAATGCCTGTGCCATCAAAAGGATCTCTGGTTCAGCTAACTTAAGCTTTCAACCGATCCTTCCTCCCACAAGCCATCAATGACTGGAACAGCCTTCCATCCTCCATCGTCACCATCGTAGACCCAGACGCCCTCAAATCAAGTCTTCAATTGCACTTTTTATGTTGTTAACCATTTACCGACCTTTCCCTGAATGTATTCATTTTTGTGTCCGTTTTTCCTAAGTATAATATGACTGATCTCCTCCGCTATGTAATAACCTCACAAACCCTTAAAGTTCAATAAATGAAATTGAATATATAGCCGCAACGAATCTGCACTATATTTTTTTTTAATTTTATAGACCACAATTGCACTTGTGCACCAAACCTCTCTGGCGTCATACACGTCGTGGGTTTATCTTTCACAACACCGAAGGTAAATAAGACGACGTCTGGCTGGGGACGAGAGTACACAGAAAAGGTCTATAGGAGCAAAAGGTAAAAACTCTCCGACGAGAACTTTGAAAGTCTATTGCTCCTGCGAGAGAATAAACTATTTTGTTTTAGTAAAAACGCAATCCATAAAATGACTGCATTTATTTTAGGCTCGTAGGGTTTTTCACGGATCAAAACCGCTGTTCATTTTTCTACCATAAAAACATAAAAAAAGTAACTTTAAAAGTAACTCGCTACTTTTTTATAATATAGTTAGTAGTTTACTCAGTTATTATTACAAATGCGTAATTTCTACTCTACTCCAATTACTTTTGGCGTCGATACTCAGTAACTTAACTTCACAACATTTTTTGAGTAATTTGTATACATGTCTGGATTTAACTAATCAAAAAGGCGCAATAATCCCCCGGGGTTTTCTTTTTCCTTTTTTTTTTCTTGCGCTCGCCTTTTTTTTTTTTTTTTTTGCGCGCGTTTTTTTTTTTTTGCGCGTCATTGGTTTAGTCGGTGATACCAAACCAATAAAAAAACAACGAGCGCAGTGACGATGCACTTTTTGGCGCCGCGTGATCGGCTCGACCGGATCGAACGTCGGCTGGGGTGCAACTTAGAACGAAACGAAGTATGTCGCATTCCGCGCTGTTTGATGTAATCGTGCGCCGTAACTCAAATATGTCCGACCGTAGAACGCAAATAATAAAAAATAAAATAAAAATAAAATTAAAAAAAATGTGGGAGAGAGAGAGAGACAAAGAGAGACGTAAACATTTTTTAGTACCAAGTGACGAGAAGCATAAATATTGCGCAGCTAGCTCTCCGCGGCACGCGAACGAACTCGATCCCGTTAATTAAACGTTAAATGCCAAGAATGGGAACTAAATTAAAGGGGTCCGCGCGTGGGGTAGTAAATCTTGCGAGTCGTTAGAAAGCGCTATTTAGTCATCGCGACTGTCTCGCGTGCGAGAAAAAGAAAATCGCTGGCGTGCCGCCATAACCGTTGGCGAGATGAGGCTGAAAAAGGAAACAATTATACAAACGGGGGGAGCGGGTCACGACGGGGTGACTACTCGGCTAACGAGCGCTATATATTATATATATACAGGTAGGAGGTTCTGACAACGACAGTTCTAGACAAAACAAAGAGACAGAGTTAAAGAGACGCTGAGCACGAGCCATTCGTCCTTTGCTCCTGACAATGTTGTTATGCTACTAATGGACCCTCTTCAAAAATCCTTCGAGCGACATTAGGGAGTTTTCGTAGACGGTTTTCGCCGTCCTGCAACGCTCTCCGCAATTCGCCACGATACCCGGAACTCTACAGTCAAGACCATCGGCGCGCAGGCATAGCTAGCGGCTTCTTCGTTGCGAAAGGCTTGGCAGGAGGGGGAAACGCGGTCTACAAAATCTCCCTTTAACGATCGCCATTTCTCGGGTACGAAAAGTAGGAATGGATCTGCGTCCTCGCCCAGCGCTGACGCGGCCCTCGTGTCCGGTACAGGTTCAGAATAGGGAGTTGTAGTAGATCGTTCTTCTCCTCCGCTACGGTATCCGCAAAGAAAACGCCGAAGCTGCGCATGCGCGCCGCCAGCCTTGTCTGCATAGTTCAAGGTCTTGTGGCGGATTACGGAGCGCTATCCGGGTGCTTAGCGGGCTGCAGAAACGGACTACTAAAACCAGGACCAACTTAAAGGGCAACTCCGCTTCTTTTCCAGTAGTGCAAAACTGTACAGTTCTCTTTGTTATCATCTACAAAACCCCCATGGCAAATATTACGACGGAATTCCGCCTAGAAGTTCATTAAAATCGCTGTCAAAGTTTGACAAGCACGAATCCGCTGGTTTTGGATGAGACGTGTGGGCCAGACAACACTGCCCGGCTGCATTTCCGCTTCCTCCAAATTCCTTCTCCCGGCACGTCCGCGACGTCATCAAGCATGTACAGCTTCTTTTTTTTTTTTCAATTTTGTTTTCTTTCCCGGGGAGAGCACGGGTGGCGCCAGCGCCGTGAAAGACGTGAGTGACGCGCTCGGCCGGCCCGGCGCTCGACTATTGATACTACTGATAAGCCGATCGCCTCGTTGAGCGCGGCTTGTGTTACATCGCATACTTTTGAACACCAAGTAAAAGGAGGAGAGGGAAGCTGCTTTTCTAAGAATTTTGAGTGACAGGTTAATCTTCTATAATCTTCTGGGAGGAGAATAGCGACGCCTGTGCTAATCCAGGAGGCACAAAGGAGGATCCTGATAAGAGGGGAGCTCCTTCTTCCCCTTGTATATCACGTGGGTGTACATGCTCAGTGATGCCGAATATACAATGTTGTCTGGCTTTGCCACCGTTTCGGTTTCGGTTTGTGACCATGCCTAGAGTAAAATTACACGAAAAATATTTTATTTTTCGCGAAGCAAAGGATTGGGGATTGTTTTTGAGTGCTTCAAAAAGCAAAATCGGCCACGCTATCTCAAAATTTTTGAAATTAAGCGGAGTTGCCCTTTAAAGGGACCATGAAATGATTTTAAAATCGAGTTTCATCCACCGCACGTCGTAAAAGGTGTGAAAAGAAACACAAAAACACAAAAATAGGGAGCCCAAAAAAATTATTTGCTATAGAACTTTTTAAAGAAAACTGGACTCTTTTGCGCCTTCCTTCCTTCGCCTGTTCACTACGATGCATACGCAGAATCGGTGCACGTCAGCCGAATCCACATCGCCTATTGGGTAAGAGCCTACTAGCCTACCTCACCAGCACCGCGATCGTAAACAATAAATAGCCGGCGAATGTTTCCTAAAAGTTTTGTTAAATAATATTCAGATCCACATTTTGTAGCATAATTAGAGATGTGTGGCGAAAATTGCCAAATTTGATAATGCTGAGAGCCAAGCGCCATCTATCGTGTGGTAAACGAAGCAACCACTGCGCGTGCGCAGTAGGGCAGGGCCGCCAGTTACTTGGGTGACGGCGACCGACGAACATTTATTTTCTTTGTTTTCCTTCCTCTCAAAACTCTGACTGACTGAACGTTTATTTTTCTACGTGTTCTTCCCGCGCGTGCCGACTTCAAGCAGCAAGAAAACAGTACTTAAAACAGACCACGACGAACAAGAACGCTGGATTCACCGACTCCGACGAAGCGTATAGGCCTAGCAGGCATTCCGACTCGGCGCTGCGTTGCTTCGTCGCAAGACCGTCTGCCTACGACCGGCTGGCGTGCTAAATGGAATATGCCCGCGCGACCCTTGTGGACCCTTCCCGTATTATAGTTTGATCACTGACCTCAATTCTAGATTAAGAGGTGAGGAGGTCAATCTCTTCTCCTTGTTTTCTGAGGCAGTGTTGACGAACACTCGTCGAAAAGGGACTCTCGTCGATTCTATCTTCTTGTTTTGTGTGATATAGAGCTGAAATAAACGCCGTATGGATTGCCTTCGTAACACGGTATGTACACTTTGTTATTGGTATGCCATTTTTATTCTGACAGACTGCACGTGTCGACCCCGGTCCAACCTTTCTTTGCCGAGTGTCGCGTCAGTATCGAGTTGCAATCGTAAAAGAACGGTCCCGAAGCGCTTACCAACGCGCGAATACAGCACTTCCATCAAGCGCGCGCGTCCGCTCCGAGTGTAAGCAGGTATTTACGTGGCTCTTGCTGACACTCGTAGTTCAAACGTATCTTTTTTAACGTCGGCTCGCTCCTGCATCTCCGAGGCCGCGAAAAACGCCATCTACGTCGCCACGTCGCTTTGCAAACGACTGACACGGGCCGGCC